ATCATTGTAGGTCATTGTAGATCATTGTAGATCATTGTAGGTCATTGTAGGTCATTGTAGATCATTGTAGATCATTGTAGATCATTGTAGGTCATTGTAGGTCATTGTAGATCATTGTAGGTCATTGTAGATCATTGTAGGTCATTGTAGGTCATTGTAGGTCATAATCCTTGTTTTAGTAACTACGCTATATTGGATAGTATAACACGTGTGGACGTTTATGTTATATTTGTTGAGGTGGTAAATAAGATAGCGCGCAAATGCAAACTAAATGGCGAAACACCGACCTGAATGTTTCTTTATACTAGGCAGAGTTCTTAGCCCTACCACCTAAAAATGGTCTCCGCGGTCCCTGTGGTTAAAAGAATACTTAAAACAAAGGGGCATTCAAAGCTCAGGAAAACGTAAGGTTGAACTGGTAGAACTTTGTGTGAAAAGTGAGGAGATGAAAGTCCCAAAAATTGCTGAAGAAGACGCACCAGTCGATCCAAGAATTTCTATGAAAGAGCGACTGAAAACCGATAAGGGAGATCTCGCAAATCCGTTGGATAACGAAAACCGTGTTTTTTCCCAATGGACCAAACACTTTACTAACGTACCGGACTTTAGATTCGCCGATCTTTTTAATTACCTGATGGGAAAAGATCCCGTATACAACAGCGAAAGCCTAAAAAGTTACATACTCTATTGGGGTACAAATTATTTTTTGATGGACATGTGGAAGAACTTTGGTATCACCCACCTCAATCCAATAGTAATTAAAGTTATTTTAAGTTTGCTGTAAAGCAAACTGAAAAATCCAAGACTGATGATGGTTCCGCAACATACAGAGGGTTTTTCATTTTAAAGAAGGATGGAAGTGTCAATTCAGCCTACTGCTTATGCAAAGGAGGGTGTGTATTATCTTCTTTTGATTTCTGAAGCCTGTCTATGTGCTTGATATTCAATAAACATACGTCTGAGAATCAAAACGTTTGGTCTTTTCAGTTGTTTTTCTCTGTGACAGGTTTTGTTTTATTCAGATTCGAAGGTTTATATTTCCCTTGTAGCAGTTGTAACATGAGTAAAAGGTAGATGCCTCCTGAATTGAAGATCTAAATCAATAGATGCATTATTTTTAGTTTCAAACCTTCTGGACCATTTATGACTTCAGCACTAAGTATTAAAACAGTAGTTCAAAGTCAGGATCTGTGAGCCTAGTAACTGAACTTATTGGCTACTTTACAGTCTATCAGTGTGAACAATGTGAGATACATATTGGTCATATTGGTCCTCCTTTAAACAGGGCAGATGGAGGTTGCTGGCACATAGCTGCAGCATTGTTTGATCTAGAAGCAAATGTGAGATTTATTGATCTCCAATCATGTACATCGGGACAGTGCATGTGGAAAAAGAGAGGAAAGAGAAATGAGGGAAGTTTGCCCATTCAGGACCTTCAAACGAGTGGTAGTT